GTGGTGCCGGCCGAGGGTCGCCTCCTGCTGTCTCTGGGGCAGGCTCCTCCTCCTCAGCGGCCTCCGGCGGCCGAGCGTCAGCGGTGATGTCCGAGTAGAACTTCTCCTTCATGTCGTCAAGGTCGACGGTGTGAGTCCGCAGCGACGACTCCACTAGGCGCCATGCTGCCCTCTCCTCCGAGTTGGCCGGGCGCAACTGCTCTGGAGAGGCCTTCAGCACGCTGCCCGGCACGGCGATCCAGTAGTTGCCGCGGACCGCGCCCATGCACACGCCAGGCCTCCAGCGATAGTGGGCTCGTCGCCCAGCCACCTTCTTCACATTGCGCCAGACCGCCACCATGTCGCCAGGCTGGTACACCACGAACCTGCGGGGCCGCGCGTCCAGGGCCAGGCGGGTCGCCTGCTTGTCGCTGTAGCTCAGGACTTGTCGCCTGGCCACCGCACGGACCCGAGCAGCGAACACCGCCGGCGGGTCATGCAGGACCGCGCTGTTCGCCACGATGTCCGGCGAGTCCACCAGCAGGTCCTCGGGCACCTCAGGGTTACGCCCGAAGACGATCTGGGCCGGGCTAACCCCGCCGACACTCAGGAGGGAGTTCTTGGCCTCCTGCACCTGCGCCACGCACTCGCGCCACTCTCCGCGGTCCTGGGGCTGGACCTCGGCGATCACGGCGCGGAGCATCTGGGCGAACCACTGCCCATGTCGCTCCACCTTCCCGTTCTGCTCCTTGGCGCTGCCCGCCGTGTCCAGGATCGCAGTCCCGTCCCGCTCCATCGCACTGGTGAAGACCTTGGACACGTGGGGTTTCGCCGGGTCGAGGCGGATCCACTTCGGGCGCAGGTAGGGCCGAGTCCAGTTGTCTCGGTACAGGCGCAGCAGGTCAGCTGCCACCTCGTCATCGCCCTCATCGAACGGAGTCATGGATTGCAGCGACGATGTATCGCACATGATGTTGAGTGCCTTGACGATCTGATCGGGCATCCAACCCGGGAGCTCCTTCACGTCCATGCCGATGGACCTTAGAGGAGGCTGCGCAATGTCCGGTGCAGCGGGGCGAACTGACTTCGGGTCTGCCTTGACGTCGCACTCCGGGCAGCGGAACTCCGCGGCCATCTTCAGGGCAGCCTCGGTCGCGTTAGCATGGCGTAGATGTCTCATCATGGTAGGCACCGGGGCGTGGCCGAGATTGACATGTAGACGTCGCAACCCTGCCTCGATGGTCTGTGGCCGACCATGGTACAGGTTGTCCCGGGTGAGGCGCTCCTTACCCTCGACGCCCGCCTCCTCGTCATCCTCCTGGTCACCGACCCCCATGGCCTCCGCCTCGTGGACGGTCGTCTGGCGGGCGTGGCTGTGGGTCTCCATCCTGGCACGGTAAGCTCCTCGCACCAGCGCCTTCGCCAGCCTGTCCGGGTAGATCTGGGACCAGACCGAGCGCTTCATGCCGCCAGCACTGTCCATCACGTCCTGGTGCTCGTGGCCGCCCCGGCACTGGCGGTCCACCTCCTCGGCCACCTCCGGAAGGTCCGAGGCGAAGCGCCAGACCTTGGCGAGGGGTACTCCAGACACCAGGTCCAGCTTGCCAAACCTGCACGCCGCTGCCTCCGCGATGAAGGGGGAAAACTCCGTGAGAAACTGAGTAATCTCCTTCAAGCCCCATGCCGAACTCCCTCGGGATTGCTCGAGTATGAAATGCTTCCCACGCATCATCTGCCACTCTGCAATCACCAGGCACAAGACAATGAAAGAGACCGCCTCCTGAACCTCTTGCTCAAACTTCTCAGGATCCTTGCGTTTGTCCTCGGACGTGAGAGCCTGCAATGGCGACAGCTTACCACAGGGAGGACTGCACGACACGAGGAACGGATCTTTGGTCTCCAGGTCGCAGAAGAGCCGGGAGACGTCCTCGCGCTGGCGAGCATCCCAACCTGTCTGCAAATCGTACGCTCCGCCATCCTCGAACCCAAACTCACTGGCCTTTTGGTCAGCCTCGGGGGAGAAAACACCTCCATGATGACAGGTCTCCGCGAACTTGCTTGATTCACTACGCACATCTCATCTATGGCCTCAGGGCTACGGCCCGGCCCTACTGAAAATCCCGGTCCACGATGGACTTCTGGAACACCAGCTCGTCCTTCTCCATGTCCAGCGTGCAGCCCAGTTTCTTCAGGAGGGGCTTACTCAACAAGAGGCCCGCCTTCCCCGGAACCACGTACACGTCGACCATCTCGATGTGGTCGCCGAGCCTCCACGGGATCTTGCAGATGCCGATGGAGTGCTGCTCGTCGCCGCTGAACCCCTTGAACGTGACCACCTTGTGGTCCTCGTCGATCTCAATGTCGTTCCCGGACACCTTGATCAGCTCCCTCAGCGTGTCCAAGCCGATCAGGGCCCTCGCGCAACCTGGGTCGATCACCCCGGCGCCCGGCGAGTGCACCATGAACGTCTCCGCCTCGTCGTCGTTGTCGGCGTCCTCGTCGTCGTGGTCGGCGATCTCGTCTACCTCCTTGCGCAGACGCCTGAAGTGGTCCTCGGTCAGCTGGTCCCTGAGGCTCCTGTCGTCCCACGTCGCCAGGATCTCCTCTATCTCACTCCAGGGGTCGGCCTCTTTTTCCTCAGCGAAGAAACTCTCGACGAAGCCGGCCCCGAACTTCTGGCCAAAGCGGCCCTTGCCGCCACCCTTGCCAGCTCGTTTCGGGCACTCCTTGCTGAAGTGACCCACCTGCTTGCATGCCCAGCAGCGGACTCGAGCGGAAAACCTCTTCAGATCAGGGGCCTGCGGGGGTGGCAGGCCGCGTTTCTTCCGCTCCTCTGCGACCACCACCCGGGTCTCCTTCCACGTCGCCAGCACCTGGATGGCCTCGTCTTCCTCCATGGGTTCCTCACGATCATGCTCGACCTCCGCCAGGAACGCTTCTATCTCCTCTGGGGAGCCGGCCGCGGGAGGAGGCTCCTCGCCCGCCGCCTCCCACACGTAGTCGTCCTCCACCAGGTGCACGCCGTGCTCGGGCAGCACCTTCGGGTAGACGGTCTTCAGCGCCAGGGCCAGCTTCTCGAACGTCCACTGCCTCTCGCTGGCCGCGAGGACGACGGCGCGCCGGTCCCCGCCGAGGCGGGCGCCTCGAAGAAGGAGAAACCCTTGAGCGACGTCCGGAATCTCCACGCCCTCCTTCTTGGCCTTCATGAAAATCGTCTGGGCCCTGCCCACGTACGCGCTGGTGAGCTCCGCCTTCTCTATCTTCAGACCGAACACGGACTCCAGCGCATCTCCCACTCGGTCGGCCGCTTCTCGCTCTGGGTACCGTGCGTCTAGGACGGCGAACAACTTTTCCTCGCCGCCGTCGACCGCCAACTCGTCTAGTTCCACATGCTCCAGGGCGTCCACGGCCGTCCCCTCCAAGAGGGTGTACAACATGGGGCCGAAGGTCTCCGACTTGCCTCCGCGCCCCTTCTCCACCAATAATCTCGCTCGTGCCCATTTCTTCCAAGCCTCGTAGTCCTGGACTGCAGCTGCTCCTTCTCCGGAGAATCGTCCATCACGAATGCTGCTTCCTCCACTGCTGCCTCCGTCCGCCATGGCTGTACTCAGGGCTGGTGGCTCAAGCTAGTGTCAAAGCCCGAGCGGTAGATGAGGGGTCCTCTGGACCCTCTGGGGAAAGTGTGAGGGCTAGCTTGTTCTCCTCTCGCGGGTTCCCCACCGCGAGTCTCCAAGCTAGCTAGTGCCCAAACGGCAGCGGAGTGAGGCAAGAAGCACTGAATCAACAGGCCCACTTAGGCTTGGGGCCCCCCTGGACGCCTCTTGGGCCGCCTTGGGGTGGTCTTTGCGGCCTCTGGGGCCCTCTTGGGAGGTCTCTTGGAGGCCTCTTGTGGCGGCTTGAAGGCCTCTTGGCCTCTCGGATGCATGGGAGGGTTCGGGATGTCGCCTTTTGAGGGGGGGCACAGCGTCCACAGGAGGCGCAGGAAACACCTCAGAACTCACGGGGGCCAGCCTGGAAACACACCGAAAAGGCATGGGACACGACTGGTCTTGGTCCTTAGGACTTGCAATTCTCGCTGCAGCAGCAGCAGCACGGCGTATACCTCTCTGTGCTTCATGAGCCTTGGGGCACTCCACTTTGTGCCAGAAGCACGGTGGTGGATCATATCCCGCATGTGTTTGCCATCGGAACACCAAAGTTGCACAGCTCGTAACCGCTCAACGTCACAAAGCATAAGGCAGTTGAGGAGGAAGAGGACCCAGACAAGCTCGCGTCGTGAAACAAATCGCAGCTGTAGCTTTTGTTAGTGTTCGGCCTCTCGGGGCCTTGGTCGGGCCTTGGGGCCGCCAACACAAACAACGCGGGATGAAACACTTGTCGGGACTTCGGAGAGCCCGCATTGGAAGCATCAACACTTCGGATGTCTCGGGGATTGCCCTGATGAGCAGGATGTGCGCGACGTGGGTTGGGTGGTAGGTCCCTCCTTCCGCGCGCCCGCGGTCTCACAATGGCGATTTATAGGTGTGCTGGCCGAAATGGGTTAGTTGTGGCCGTCGTGTTGGGGTAACACGCTGGCTTCAGCTAGATTTTCACCACCCCCCAAGCCACCCCAATCCAACCCGAAGGCCCCAATGTGTCTCCGTTTCTAGTTGGGGGGGGGGCGTCGGGGAACATGGAAGATTCACATGTGAACCTGTGAACCCAAGATTTGCAATTTCGGGTTAGGTTGGGGTGGTCTGATAGGTAGTCTGGTCTGGCGCCCAAAAGAGGCTGGAGCTGTTTGCGTTCTCCGCCTTCACACCCCCGGACGTCGCCGACGTTGAGTGTTTATCCCTACCTTTTCATCCGCTCTATCCCACTTGCCGCTTGCCCTTCTAGGGCCCGCCCATGCGTGCGCTGAGATGCAGACTCCTGTGTCTTGTCATGTGTTCGCTGCTTCCCTCTCCCCTTCTCCTCCTGCTTCTGATGGTGATTATCCTCCTCCTCCTCCTCCTCCTCCTGCTCCTCCGCGTCTTCCGCAGGTGCGCAAGTTGGCTGGCGATCTCTGGAAGGACCTGGCCGAGTGGGCGGCCAGTCAGGCCTCTACACAGGAGGGAGGCGAGAGATGTGGGGAGAAGGGAAGCGGCGAAGAGGAGGAGAGGAGATGAGTGGAGAGGGGGAGAACGACGGAAGGTGGGGAGGAAGTGGGGAGGGGGGGAGGAAAGGGGGGGAGAGGGGGGAGGAGGGAGAGGTGGGGGTGGACGTGGAGAGAAGGAGGAGAGTGGGAGGGGGAAAGGAGAGAGGAGATGAGGGGGATTAGTGGGGAGATGGGAGGAGGGGAGGAGGAGGAGGAGGACGAGGAGGATGGAGAAGGAGGAGGAGGATGGAGAATGAGGAGGAGGAGGAGGAGGAGGAGGAGGAGGAGGGGAGGAAGAGGAGGAGGAGGAGGAGGAGGAGGAGGAGGAGGAGGTGGAGGCGGAGGAGGAGGAGGTGGAGGCGGAGGCGGAGGCGGCGGCGGGCGGAGGGGGGAGGAGGAGGAGAGGAGGAGGAGGAGGAGGAGGAGGAGGAGGAGGAGGAGGAGGAGGAGGAGGAGGATGAGGAGGAGAGAGGAGGAGGAGGAGGAGGAGGAGGAGGAGGAGGAGAGAGAGGAGGAGGAGAGGAGGAGGAGGAGGAGGAGGAGGAGGGGAAAGGGGAAAGGGGGAGCTGAGGGGAGGGGAGAGAGGAGGGGAGGGAGGGAGGGAGGGAGCAGCGGAGGGAGGAGGGGAAGGGGGATGGGAGGTGAGGGAGGGCGAGCGGGAGGGCGGGAGGGAGGGCGAGCGGGAGGGATGGATGGAGGGAGGAGGGAGGAGGGAGGAGGAGGGAGGAGGGAGGAGGGATGGAGAAGGGAGAATGGAGGAGGTAGGAGAGAGGAGGGAGGAGGGAGGAGGGGAAAGGGAAGAGGGAGGAGAGAGGAGGGAGGAGGAAGGAGGGAGGAGGGAGGAAGGAGGAGGGAGGAGGGAGGAGGGAAGAGAGAGGAGGGAGGAGGGAGGAGGGAGGAGGGAAGAGAGAGGAGAGAGGAGGGAGGACGGAGGAGGAGGAGAGGGCAACCGCCGGCAGCTGATGTACCCCACCCACGACTTTCTTCTATTTAGGTTCGCCCGCACACCGTGGTTCGGGCGAGGCCCGCATACCTGAGTGACTATATAGGCTCAGTGTTCGATAGTGAGCCTCTTGCTGAACGCAACCGCCCTGCTTTCACGCCGAACGCTGCCAGAAACCGCCAAAGACCACAACAGACCGCCGCAGACCGTTAGAAGACCGCCGGAACCAGCCGAAGACAGACAGAACACCGCCGCAGACCGCCAGAAGACCGCCGAAGACCGCTCAGCGCCGATGGTTAATCAAGGTGTCCATGGTCGAATACGCCGTGTATGCCGAAGAACCAAAGACGGCATCAACAAATGTTCATGTTCGCACGGATATCTTAGATCGGTGCCGGGCCCCTTCTGGCGGCACCTCCGGCGTCGCCCTTGGCGCGCTCCGCGCTCCAGGGAGGGTGGCAACCGCCGATCCCAGAAATCCGCGCGGAGCTCCGAAAAGATGATTTATGATTATGCAGTTTTTCACAATAAGAAAGACACAGACACAAATGAACGTCGATTCCCATGAAAATATGTGAAAATATTTGAATGATACGGGGAGACGAAACTCCAGAACACATATGGAAAGATGGGGGATCGTGGCAGTTTATGTTTGGGTATTTGTTTGTCCATGGGCCCCCCTCGGTTTTCTGTTTTGATACCGAAGCGGCTCCTCATCGTCGTCGCCGCTTTCACCACAGAAGTCTCGACGCTCCCAGGGCCTGCAGCGCAACCTAGAGCTCTTCACGGCCGCGGCAGAGGGCAGTGAGTCCGCCGCCCCCTCGACTGGGGTGCAGGACGACCCGCGCCTCTCTCTCTCGCTCTCTCGGCTGGCTCCACGGCGTCCCCCCCTCCCTGGACGTCGTGAAACCTGCTTTGGCGGGTGTCAAGTCTTCGGGAAACAAAGGATGGCATGAATATTTAAACTCGGAGCTCCGCGCGGATTTCTCGCATCGGCGCTGGACCCCCCTGCCCTGTTGCGCGGAGCGCGCCAGGGGGCCCAGCGCGGATCCAAGAAATCCGCGCGGACCTCAGGTGTTTGTTATGTTTACCTCGGTGTTTGTTCCACTGAGTCTGATCAGGGGCCTCGGTGCCTGACCAGGGGTGGTCCCGCGGCGGTGGGCGTAGCTCGGCCCCTCGGGCGTGCCGCTCGCCTTGCTCGCGCAAGAACTTGCGTCCACTTAAGGCCCCAGTGGCGGTGTCCTCATGCGTCTCCCCCACCGGGCACAGCTTTTGGTGGCCCCATAGGGCGGTCCACCTAAAGCCCCAGTGGCGATGTCCTCATGCGTCTCCCCCACCCAGCACGGCGCTGCGTGGCCCCATGGGGAGCTCCACCTAAGGCTCCAGTGGCGGTGTCCACATGCGTCTCCCCCACCCAGCACGGCGCTGCGTGGCCCCATGAGGAGCTCCACCGAAGGCCCGAGTGGCGGTGTCCACATGCATCTCCTCCTACCCAGCGCAGCTCTTCGTGGCCCCATAGGGAGCTCCCAGCAGCTGCGTTTACGTGCGCCCGCCGCACCCATGTCGACACATCGCTCACACGTTTCGTGGCCTCGTAAGGAGCTCCACTGAAGGCTGCAGTGGCTGCGTTCGCATGCTCCCGCCGAAGGGCAAACCACACACGCATCGAGCCCCCATAGAGAGATCCACCGAAGGCCGCAGTAGTTGCGTTCGCATGCGCCCGCCGCAAATATTCGGCACACCCGTCACACGCTTCGTGGCCTCACAGGGAGCTCCACCGAAGGCCCCAGTGGCTGCGTTCGCATGTGCCCGCCACACCCATTTCGTTCGTGGCCCCACGGGGGGCTCCACAGAAGGCCGCATTGGTTGCGTCCGCATGCGCCCGCCGCACCCATTTCGACACCCCCCTGACACGCTTCTTGGCCCCATGTGGAGCTCCACAGAGGGCCCCAGCGGCTGCGTTCGCACGCGCCCGCCGCACCCATTTCGGCACACCCCTCACACGTTCGTGTCCCCACGGGGGGCTCCACCGAAGGCCCCAGTGGCTGCGTTCGCATGCGCCCGCCGCACCCACTTTGGGACACCACTCACACGTTTCGTGGCCCGATAGGGAGCTGTATGTACCGAAGACGACACTCACAATTGCGTGGCTCACAACTGCATATGGTTGGGTCATTCGCCAGGCTATATGTTTCTCTTCTCTCTCTGCCAGTTTGTTCTGCAGTCGTCGGGGACTCTCTTTACAAACATCTCTCGTATGTTGACTGCGTTTGCGAAGACTCGGGAGCCTTGTATTCTTTGAAATCCGTGTTTCAAGTCTCCCTGGACAATTCTGGTCGCAATTCTCTGGCAGTTTTCAGGCACTTGGCCACAACCAAGACATCCAAAACCCCGGAAACTGACACTGCCAGGAACCCGGGAACCGGAAACCAGAGACCCCAGCCGCCTACCGAAATTTCACATTGCCAGGAACGCCAGCACCGAAAACCAGGAACCCAAGAAATTCCAGGAATCCGGCCGCCTATTGAAAACGGCGCCGTACATTCGCCTACTCTTCTTTGATGGTGGGCTTGTTGTCCACCGCCGCCACCATTAGTAAGGGGGGGAGGGGGTCCTCCTCCTCCTCCTCTTCCTCCTCATCCTCCACCTCCTTCCCCCCTCCAACTTACGGCGGTGGTGGTGGCGGTGGAAAACAAGCCCATCATTTGAACATCTGCTAGAGCTTATTCGTCCGAGCAGCCCTTCCAAGGGGAAGCCAGCCGTTGCAGGCTAGCCGCGGCTGGGGGAGTTGTGGTCCTTTCTTCTCCTGGGGGGGCCCATGGGCTTCGACACACCTCTTGTGAGATGGTCGACAACCCCCATCAGAAGAAAAGGTATAGAAGCGCGAAACATCGGTGACTGAAAACGTGTCCGAATTTGTAACCGAAAGCGTAGTGCGAGCGAAATTGTGACCGAAATTGAGAACCGTGTTGGTCTCGCACTGGCGATTTCGGAGTAATCGGACGCCAGTTTCGGTCGCAGTCGGGCAGATTTTTGGACACAGTTTCGGCCACTACACCCCGCTGATAGAGACGAGGCTGCGTGACAGGTTGGCACAAGGGGGTGAGGAACGCAGTCCCCCCAGTCGTGGCTGCTCGCCATGCAGGGATGGAGGACCGGTCCACCCCCTCCTTGCCTGGAGACCCCCCCATTGAGCCGATGGTTCAGCTGGCAGGCTGCTGAGACGTGGCCGGGACGCCTCCTCACTGAGGATTCCGCGGGCCGTCCGCCACTCCGTTCACAGCCCAGGGCATGTGATATCTGCTATATTTGGTCACCCCGGCCAGAGAACAGATATCAGTCTCACATGGTCGTACGCGCTTATCAAGGGCGCCGTCGAGGGCGCAAAGTTATTCGCGCTTTCCGGTTCGGCTCCGATTCATCCTCATCTTCCTCTTCTCACCTGGGGTGCGGCGCGAGAGCGCGAAGTTATTCGCGCTTCGTGCAGTGCGAAGCACGAAGTTTGGCGCCCTTGCATAGCACCTTTCGTACAGGAAGCACGTAGCCGCGAGACCCCAACACATCCCGCTTCACCTCTCACAGTGAGCTGAAGGCGACGGTGTTCAATGATGGAGAGTGCGTGCAGAGGCTTGAAGACACCGCTGCCGGGATAACTCTGCTTTCTCGTTCTTCATTGGATCGGTTGGCGGCTGAGTATGGTTTTCGGATGGCCAGTTCGAATGTCTAAAGCTCCACAGCGGGCCCTCTTCAGGTGAGGAGGATAATGATGAGGACGAGGGGCAAGGAAGACGGGGAGGACAATGATGAGGTCACGGATTCTGTCGCGAGGCCGAAAGGCATCGTTGGTTACGACTGAAAGCCGTTCCTTCCGAACGGTATTGTATCTTCTATCCCCAGGAGACATGTGGTCAGTGCAAGATATTTGGCACAGGGCTCCTCCTCCTCCATATGTTCATAATACTTATGATCCTCTTCTCTTATCGTTGTCAGTCTCACCTCATCCTTATCAGTTGCTCGTTATCATCCTCGTTGTCCCTTCCTCTTTTGCACTTCCTTTTCCTCCTCCCGTCTTGCGTATTTCTTTTTCCGCCCCCCATGATCAGAGGACACCTGGGCGTTCGTGCCCGCCGTGGATTTATATCTGATGCGAAGGGCCCGCGCCACTCATCCAAGCGCACCTAGGCCTCCTCGCTGCGGCGGCGGTATGGGGTAAGGACACCCTCCGTGTTTCTGCTACTGGTTTCATTGCCACGCATTCCTCCGCCCTCACTCCCGTCTGCTCTCCTCTCCCGTCACCCCAGAGTATCTTTCTCCTCCTCCTCCTCCCTGATTCCCCTCCCCTCTCCTTCCTGTTCTCCCTTGCTCCTGGCACAGCTCAGGAGCGGCAGACGTGTCTATATCGAAGTCCTCGCGGTTTGGGTTCCAGGGCTCGTTCCCGTGGATACGCGGCCGCATGGGTACGTGCCGCGCGGGGCATTCACAAACAAACGTCCGTGTGCACGTGGTCGTCGCCCATGGGCCCAGCCCGCGATGCCGTGGATGTGGATGTGCTTCCCGCACACCAGCAGCTGTCTGGCGGGAGGCGATATTTGGTTTCTTTGGTGTCGTTTCCACGTCCTGCTCTTTCGGTCCTCCGCCCTCTGGGGGCCAGCATGCCACAATCCACGGCAGGTGTTTTGTTTGGAGTTGAAAAATAGTCCTGGGCGGGATTGAGCCGGATGCAGGCAGAACAATGTATAGCATGCACGCTCACGACACACACACACACACGCACACACTTTGAGGCGTTGATCGGTATTGTCTTTTTGAGTTGTCGCAGTGGGTTGCAATGCGAGTACATGCTATACAAGGTAAGGTGGCGCAATTATCAGCGATCCAACACAAAGCGTATGCAGTCAAATTGCGATCGCGCACATCATTGCAATGAAAAGCATCTGCAAGCGAGGTGACGCACATCAACGGAGTGCAAATCATTACACCACAATGCAACGTAAAGCAACACAGTGCAGTTCAAGCCAATGCAACGCGAGACAAGGTACGGCCACGCAAACCGCATGGAACACATACATGTAAAGCACTGCGGATCAGCCGAATCCAACACACATCAAGTCAACTTAACGCACATCGTATCACATTTATATACAGAGAAGCGAAGCACTTCAATCCAGTACACTTACGATTTGTTCAAAGCCAGGCAGGGCGAAGCGAGTCAATGCGAAGATGGGGAAACCAATCTGCCTTTCGCGTGGATAGTGCAATAGGCCCGTTGCACGCGAATCGTACCCCTCTCCCCAAGCCCAAGCCACAACTTCTTTCAGAACAAAGAAGCCTCCCCTCCCCCCTCCCTCTCCCCCTCCCTGTAGTACCTTACCCAATTGCCACCTATTCTCCCCGAACAGAGAAGTTATCATTTCGGGGGGTCGGTGGGGGGGGCTCCGTTTCCTCCACCTGTTCCTGCGTCTCCTTTTTCTTGTTCCTCATGTTTCTCTCTAACCGCCTCCCCGTCTTCTCCCTCCCCTCTCCCGCCTCCCCTTCACCCCTTCTTCCTGATCCTCCCCTCACCCCTCTCCCTCTTCCTGTTGCCTCCTCCTCCTCCTTCCTTCCTTTTTATCCACTCCTCCGCTCTCCTCCCTCCTAGCTCTTCCCATTTCCTCCTTTCTTCCCCCTCCTTTTTGCTCCTCGCTCGCGCTCGTCAGTCTCCCTCTCGCTGCTATCTCCCTCTTGCCTGCCCCTCCAGAGTGCACGCCGGGGGAGGAGGAGTGGAGGAGGAGTGTGAGAGGGGGGTGGGAAGGAGGAAGGAGGAGTAGACAGATGAGGATGGTTCTGGACAGTATTAGTTTGTTGTTGGAACTTTCAAGGGATCAGGGTGGTTCTCAAAGGTTGTCGTCTTCATTCTCCTTCCTCATCCAGGGGGCATGGCCCCAGGCGGGGCTCAGGCGGGTCGTTGGTGAAGGCATGGTCGGCACCACCGCGGAGGGGATTTTCCTGGAGGCCCTGCAGGGGGTCGCCAAGCCGCCCAGCAAGGAGCCAGCGCCGTCGTCGCCCTCGTCCTGGCCCCTGGCGTTATCCGAGAAGGCGGAGGATCAGGATGAGAGGCGGACGAGGAACGAAGGAGGATGAGGCGTAGGAGGGTGAGCACGGGCCGTTGAGATGATGAGGTTGGTGATGATGATGATGATGATGATGATGATGATGATGATGCTGATGATGATGATGATCATGATCATGATCAGGATGATGACGATGATGATGATGATGATGATGATGATGATGATGATGATGATGATGATGATGTTGATGATGATGATGTTGATGTTGATGTTGATGATGATGATGATGATGATGATGATGATGCTGCTGCTGATGATGCTGCTGCCGATGATGATGCTGATGTTGATGCTGATGCTAAAACTGATGATGATGATGCTGCTGCTGATGATGATGATGCTGCTGGTGATGATGATGCTGATGATGATGTTGATGGTGATGATGATGCTGATGATGCTGATGACAATGATGATGATGATGATGATGATGAGGAGGAGGAGGAGGAGGAGGAGGAGGAGGAGGAGGAGGGGCAGGTGCAGGAGCAGGAGCAAGAGCAGAAGCAGGAGCAGGAGCAGGAACACGAGCAGAAGCAGGAACAGGAGGAGGATAGAGGGCAGACGAGTTTGCAGAGGATGATTGTGGTGGCTTTTGATGACTGCATCGGTGGTGAAAGTGCCGGGTGCCCGCTCTGGCGATGTTGATGAGGATCGGGACGCCCATTCCAGCGGCCGAGGAGCGAGACCAGTGTTGCGGCGACCTCGGCCCCTAGATGCAGCCCGCACAGTAAGGGTGAGCCGCCTTCCAAGGTTGCTCTTGCATCCTTGCCCCTTCGGCCTTCCTTGGCGACTCTCGCTGGCCAGCCCCGTTCGAAAACGCCGACGTGGCCTTCCAAGGCCTTTGCATCCTTAGCGCGAATCCTTCTTGTACGGGTTGATTGTAACGACGGCGAGCAGGATGAGCACGATCAGTCAGGCTGATCAGGTTGATAAGAAGGAGAATGCCGATGGGCAGGCGAAAAAAGGTGTGCACTGTAGCCATGCACTGGCCTGGGCAGTGTTCGGTAGACCAAACGTGAGGCACGGTAGTTGGCCCGATCCTCGATGCGGGCAAGATTTGTATCCACATACATTGCGTCTCGGCTTTTCGGGCAATCTTAGAAACCTTGGACGTATCTAGTGGATCTGGAGATAAACATCTGGCCTCCCGGCGAGGCCAGGTTATCTGTAAGGGCTTCGCCCCCTGCCGCCGGCCCCCTCTCTCGGATAATGGGCGATGCAAGAGCGAAATCATGAGGCCTCGGCGCAGCCGTGAAGCAGCATCGGCAAGAGAACTTGAGATTATGAGGATATTGTTGAACTCAGCGTTGCATTTTGAACCTGCCTCAGTATTCTGTGCACTGAGGCTTCCCACAGAATTTCGGACATGTGGCAAATCTCATTGGTTTTTCGACCCTGACCCTGGATTGTTGTATAATTTGTAAAGGTTTACTGCTTCGGGGTCGCAAATATTGCGTCATTCACGTAGGTTTATGGCTTCGGAAATGCGAATCTTGTGTAATGTGCAAGGTTGTATTGTTTCGGATACGCGAACCTAATGTAATTCGCAAGGGTTTATGGCTTCGGAGACGCGGATCTTGATTACTTCCAAATGGCTTAGTGCATCGGGAACGCATATATCGCATACTTTCTTATGGTTTATGGCTTCGGAGACGCGAATGTAGGTTAATTTACACAGGTTTATGGCTTCGGGGACGCGAGTACTCAATGATTTACGAGCGTTTGTGGCCTCGAGAACGCCAGCATTTCATAATTTACGAGAGTTCATGGCTTCGGGGACACGAATATAGCGAATTTTGAGAGGGCTTATGGCTTCTGGGACGCGGGTATTGTGTAATTCTCGGGGGTTTATGGCCTCGGGCGCGCGAATACTGCGTAACGTACGAGGGTTTATGCCCTCGGGGGCGTGAATTTCATGTATTTTTGCGTGTCCCAAGCCCCCCCCCCCCCGCAAATTCTGAGACCCCTCCCAGGACACACTAACCAGGCTGATTTTCGGCTTCCCCCCCTTCGCGCGGTCTACAAAAGGGAACAGTTAGCAACAAGAAGCAGAACTGTAACAGTGGAAACTGGAAACTGGAACTGGCGCAGGGAACAGTAAACCCTCGTCCTACAGCCTGGTGGCCCCACAAGGGGGCCGGCGGATGGCCACACCCGTTGCGTCTCTGGTTTGGGGCGTTCTTCTCATAAGATTGTTGAAGACGCCGTGGACATGGATACAGATCCTGCCCGCATGAGAGGCACCGCCGAGGCTGATCTGGGAACTTCGTTCGCCTCCCACGCGTGGGATCTGAGGAGGAGGAGGAGGGCGAGGAGGAGGTGGGGTAGGAGCCCCCCCCCCGGGCAAGGAGCCCGCCGCGGAGGCGGAGGAGGACGCCGGGCAGCCGAAGAGCCTCAGCAAGGCGCCGTCACCGCGAAAGGGGCCACGGGCCTGGAGGGAGCCATCTCCCTCCCACTCGCGCCGTGGGACAAAAAGAACACGGTGGACGGTGTTTGGCGGTCTTCGGCCTCCTGGGGCCCCCCTCCGGGCCTGAGAGCGGCAACCCGCGGGTCTGGACGGAAGGCCGTTCCCAGGGGAATGTGTCCAGACTTCCCGGGGTCGGAGGGGGGCCAAGTCTCTCGATCCGCATGTCCCTTCTCCCCCCTCCAGAAGCCACCGAGAGCACCGCGTCAGGGCTACACTTCCTCCAGTGCAGTCGCCTGCAGTTGCTTGCAGCAGTCAGGAGGAGCTTGGCGTGCTGGACCGGGTTAGGACGAGGATACATCCGTTCCAGAGCGGTCGGGGACGCTCTCAGAGCATTCCGGAATGTTCTGAGAAGATCGCGGCGCCCGAGACATTTTTTATTTAGCCGCCAGATCTCAGATATTCACGATTGAATTTAATGTTGACGAGAATCATTTCGCAGGGATAATAAAGTTCGGGGCCAAGAAAGGGTTTTATTTTTCCCAGAGATATCGATGATAGGATGGTTGGATCGTTGTTCAAGAACCTCCATGATAGCCTCCATGATGGAGCCTCCATGATCCTTCTTGAGGGCCTCCGTGGAAATGTGGGAAGAGCACAACTCGTATGAAATACAATGGCGACATGGTACACTGATCCCTCTCGGGGCGCTTCCTTGAAGATGTCGGATGAGCACACATCCTGTGAAATACCAGGGTGAAGTGGTACATTGGATCGTTTCGGGGGGCCTCCCTGGAGGAGAGAGGAGAATGATGAGGAGGAGGAGGAGGAGGAAGATGAGGAGGAGGAGGAGGAGTAGGATGAGGTTCCGGATCATTTTCGAAGTTTCTGATTTATCACATGCTATGCGCAAAGCTTACCTGTCCGTGACGGTTTTCAACTCATGATCGTTGTTTTCGGAGATAACACATGCTTGGGACGGAGGAAGGAGAAACGGGAGACAGATGCGAGAAGAAAGGAGGAGAAGACGAGAAGGATAATAAGGAAAGAAGAAGGAGAGGAGCAGGAGCAGGAAGTTCATGAGGAGGAGGAGGAGGAGGAGGAGGAGGAGAGGGAGGAGGAGCAGACAGTGCTTTTACGCGACAGTGTGTATTACACAAACAAGCTTGCTTCAGACATCCTCGGCAAGCTGATGATCGCAAGTCTTCGGACATGGGCGTTTCGTTGAGACATCCTCGCAATAATGATAATACACATTACTCATGGTGCTATGCATGATATGAAGATCAGAGCTACGATGCGAACTTTGGGGGTGATGCTATGATGCTAGTGTTCGCCCCCGCCTGTTGTGGCAACATGAAACCAGATACAGCCCAGGGACAATCTGATAGAAGGGGTGAAGGGGGGGACACCCTTTATCGTCGGCATGCGGTTATCCTCACCCGATGTTGTCCTCGCCCTGGCTTCGTCTTATAGCGCGGAGCTCAAAAGCAAACCGAGAGCTCTGCCAAGCGGCGGCCGCATGGCCCACGCCGCCGCCGGACGGAGGAGCAGCCACGGGGCCTACCGCCTGCGGAGGCGACCCCCCGGGGCCCGCGCGCACGAGGACCAGCATCGGCGCCTGTCCCGCCCTTTCTGTGTCCCTCGGTAGTCTTGGGCCCCCGGACTGCAAGCACCCCCTGGGCTACAGGTGCCCCCTCCCCGAGCTACGAGTACCCCTCCCCCCGACCACAGGTACCCCCCCCCCCCCCCCCCAGACTGCAGGTAGTACCCCCCCCCTGGACTACAGGTACCCCCCCTGGGACTGGGACTACAGGTACCCCCCCCCCGGACTACAGGTACCCCCACATCCACGCGTGCGTTGACGCGTGAACACGCGTTCCCCCCCAGACTGCAGGTACCCCCCCGGACTACAGGTACCCTTCCCCTGGACTACAGGTACCCCGCCCCGGACTACTGGTACCCCCCCATGCAGACTACAGATACCCCTCCCCCGGCCTGCAGGCACCCTCCACGGACTACAGGTGCCCCCAGAACTATTGAGGGACACAGAGCATGCGGGCGAGATTTCTACGTCGCCGCGCCGTTTGTTCCAACGCGCGGCCTTACCTCTTGGGAGGGCGCCGCGGGCACCGGGGCAAGCGCCGCCTCGGGCGCAGTGGGTTCGGTGCCGGCGTCGTCTACTCGGGGCGTGGGGCGCAGGGCTTACCGTGGGTTTGCCGTGGGGCGCAGGGCTTACCGTGGGTTTGCCGTGGTGTCGGCGTCATCCACTCGGGTGCGCCGAGAACAAAGGGCGCGGCGACATATCCATATCTATTGCGTCTTGGCCTGTCAGGGAAGGGGCGCCAAGAGGCAGAGGCACTGTGGATGTGAGTCAACATCCAGCCTCTAGGAGCCAGTGGATTATGCCCATCTCTACTGCGCCTCTGGCTTCCTGGGGGAGGGGGTCCAAAGCTCAGAAGCGGAGTGGATGGATCCACAGCTTGCCCGCACGAGGATCGGTATCGGTGTCGGCGCCTGTCCTGCCCGGTCCCCCCCCCGAGAGGCGGAGGAGCAGAAGCTCGCGATGAAGGATATGGACTGGGAGAAGATCTGGCGGCAGAAGAACCAGGCCGCCGGCAGCTCCGTCTCGGCCGGGGCGGGGAAGGAATGCGAGGAGACAGAGAGGAGCCTCCTCCTCTCCCTCCTCCTCCTCCTCCTCCTCCTCCTTCGCCGCCGCCCCCCCCCCCACACCCATTGAAGGCTTCTTCGTCATCCTCCACCTCCCTTCTCGTCCTTCCTCCGATGATGATAGTCAGGTCTCAGGAGGAGGGTTTCAGTGGGATTCTGGTCGCTCGGTTGAGCTCTATTCGGCGCAAGGGTCGTTCGGAGAGGCACTGGGGGTTCTACAGGACGGGGAGGGGGGACGATGGGGGGGAAGGGAGACAAGGAAAGAGGGAGGAGGAACATTGACCGTCTCTGATGCTTCAGGGAGTAAGTTCGACGTCTCGACGTGTTCGGGCGTTTCCGGAGTGCGGGGGAGCAGGGGGGAGAGGGCATGAAGGTCACAAGAGGAAAGAGGGAGGAGAGGGTAGGAGGGAACAGGGTTGAACGAGGAGGGTAGAGGGATGGTTGGGGGGAGAACGAAAGGGAGGAACGCTCGGGAGGGAGGACGAGGGAGCAGGAGGACGAGGAGAGGCATGGGGGTATGATGATGATGATGATGATGATGATGAGGAGGAGGAGGAGGAGGAGGAGGAGGAGGAGGAGGAGGAGGGCGAGCATCGCAGAGAGACGAGTGGGAGGAGCGCAGCAGCAGCAGGGACCGCTGACCGGGGATCGCCGCTGCGCCCAATCGATCATGGGCAGAAGCCCCAAACGCGATGTGCAAGGGTTGTGGGCATGGTTCCTGTTCTGGATGAGGGGCGGCCAGGATACCTTGCGAGCTGAGCTGCACTGATACGCCCGTGCTGCGACGCAACATGCACCGTGTTCAGAGCGTCCGTGTTGACACGCTGCGTGTTGGCTCGGATCGTGTTGACCCACGTCTTTGGCAAACGCATCGCGCCAGACCCGCGTTTCCGGCCCACGTGTTGAGCACCGTGTCAACATGCTACGTGCTCCGTGTTGCTTGCGAGGTCTTCGCAGGTCGAGGCCCCAGGCAACGGAGGGCACAGCCCGGCGGCGGTCCCCAGTGAGACGAACCTCGCAGGTGAACGGCCCCGATGCCTGGCACGACGGCGATCTTGTCCTCGTGCTGGGCGGCGTACACCGCCTGCCGGGCTACTTGTTCGACGTTTGTTGATGGGAGCCTTGGGCGACAACACTGAAATCAGAAGCTCCTGAATTTGGACCGCCTTTGGGCCGCAGCCCTTCCTCCTGCTCCTCCTCGTGCTTTCTGCTCCTCCTCCCCCTCCTCGTTCTTCCGTCTCCCCTGTGCAGGGGCGAATCCTGTCCAAATCCGGCCCCAAATGATTTCCAAATCGGGTCCAAATCAGGCCCAAATCGGACAGCGCCGAGGGCCACCTAGTAGGCTCCCATGGAGCAGACACTAAACACTTGGTGAATCAGCGGGAGGATCGAAGACGAAAAACCAGCACAAGCCTAAACTACTGCGGGCCCGCGCGGACTTCTCGGATCGGCGCCAGGGACGGGGGCCCAGCGCCGATCCAAGAGACTCGCGCGGATGTGCGAAAGAGTTTGCTTGTGCTGGTTTATCAAAGACGCCTACGGCGAATCACCGCCGCCCCCTGCCTTTTTGGAAGCGCCTATGTGGCCGAACGTTGAGGCCAGACCTGCCAAGCTATCGGACCATGTGTTCCCCGAATCGATTTTGAAAGCCTTCGGGGAACACGTGGGCATCTTGAAAGTCATCTTGGCCGCCTGGAGGCCATTCTGACCCTTTCGGGCCTTCTTGGAGGACGTCTTGGAGGGCTCTTGGGCCGCCTTGGAGGCCATCTTGAGCGTCTTGGAGGCCTTTTGGGCCGTCTTGGGGGCCTCTGGGGGCCGTCGTAGGCCTCTTGGGCGATCTTTGGGTGCACTTGGGCCGTCTCGGGCCGTCCGGAAGGCAGAAAAAAAACAAATGCCACAATCCTGCAAAAACTCATGGGAAATCAATGATTTTGACCTTTTCGGCCCTTCCTGGAGGCCTCCTTGGAAGCCTCTTGGGCCGTCTTAGGCCATCTTAGGGCCATCTTCGGTCGTTTTGGTGGGCTCCTGGCCCGTCCGACGCCGTTGGAGGCCGTTTGGGGGGTGGGCCGACTTGGGGCCCTCTTGGAATGCTTCAGGGCCGTCTTGGAGGCTATCTTGGGCGTCTTAAAAGCCTCCTGGGCCGTCTTGGGGGCCTCTTGGGCCGTTCTGGGGCCATCTTGGAGGCCTCTTGGGCGATCTTTGGGCGATCTTTGGGCTGCTCTTGGGCTGTATTTGGCTTTCAGATGGCCGAAAAGAAGCAACTGCCAAAATCCTTTAAACACCTAAGGAACATCAATGCTGTTTGCCTTTTCTGGCCTTCCTGGAGGCCCTCTTGGAGGCCTCTTGGGCCGTCTTGGGCCAGCTTCGAGCCAAATTCGGCCATCTTGGCCCGTCTGACGCCGTCGGCCGCCGTTTTGGGGGCCTCTCTGGGCCGACTTGGGTGCCCTCTTGGGGTGCTCCAGGGCCGTCTTAGAGGCCATCTTGGGCGTCTTGGAGGCCTCTTGGGTCGTCTTTGTGCCCTCTTGGGGCCGTCTTGGGGGCCTCTTGGTCAGTCCTGAGGCCATCTTGGAGGCTTCTTGGGTGCTGTGGGGGCGATCTTGGGGGCCTCTTGGGCCGCCTTGGGTCGTCGGAAAGCCGAAAAGGAGCAAATACGAACAACCTTTTAAAGACCAAAGGAAACTCAATGATTTTGGCATCTTCGGGCCCTCCTGGAGGACCTCTCGGAGGCCTCCTGGGCCGTCTTGGAGGCCGCTTGGGCACCTCTTGGGCCGTCTTGAATTGAAGGTTTCTTGGGCGGACTTGGAGGCATCTCCTCCTCTCTTGGGCGGACTTGGAGGCCATCTTGGAGGCCATCTTGGGTCATCTTGGCCGTCTTGGAGGCCATCTTGGCCGTCTTGGAGGCCTCTCGGGGTCGTCTTGGGGGCTTCTTGCGCCGTCATGGGGCCATCTTGGAGGCCTCGTGGGCGATCTTGGGGCGATCTTGGGGGGCTCTTGGGCCGTCTTGGGTCGTCGGAATGCCGACAAGAAGCAAATGCCAAAATCCTTTCAAAAACCTAAGGAAAATCAATGATGCTTGGCCTCTTCGGGCCCTCCTGTCGGACCTCTTGGAGGCCTCTTGGGCCGTCTTGGGCCGTCTTCGAGGCCTGCTATCTTAGGCCGTCTGGGGTGCATTTTGGGCCGTCTTGGAGGCGTCTTGAGGCCATCTTAGCCGTCTTGGAGGCCATCTTGGCTGTCTTGGAGGCATTTTGGAGGCCATCCTGGGCCATCTTGAGTGAAAAAGCCGACGAGGCAGGCAGCCGGCGGGACGGGCCGACGCCCCAGGGGGAGTTCTTTTGGAAAAAGAACCAAAACCAAAACCGTAATAATCTAGCACGCCAGGCACCCCTGCGATGAATCGACAGGGGCGGCGGATCTGTTGGCTTTCGGCCCATCCCTCCACACTGCCTGGGTTGTGGGCAAGTGTCCTCAAGGATGCTTCTTGGGCTCTCTTCGGGGCGGCCTCGTGGGCCTTTTGGGGCCTCTTGGAAGCCTCTTTGGGGCCTCTTGGGAGCCTCGTGTGTGCTGGTTAATATTCCTTCCTCCAGGGGAGGAGGGGGCGGGGAGGGAGAGGCCTTTCCCCGACAAGGGGCCAGGCTCCCTGAGCCCTTGGTCTCTGGACGCCGCTGCTCGCCGCCACCGGCTTGCCGCCATCGACTTGCAGCCGTTGGCATTCCCCCCCCTCCTCCCTTCCCTTCAGCCTCCCTCCGCCTTCCAATGCTCCTTTCGGCGGCGCGCCGAATGGGGAAGTGCGGGGACAGGCCTTCTCAGACGTGGATGGGGCTTCTTATTAAAGCTCTCCCGCCTTTGGGGAGCCCTCTGCGTTTTCGGAGGAGGCCTAGACGGCTTGGAAGGCGGGAGGGCTTCTGAGAAGCCCCGCCGCCCTCTTAGATGGCTGGCCCCCTCTTTGTTTCCATCCACGCACGACGAGGCCCGAGCATCGTATTGAGTCAAGCGGAGCTGTTACCCGTCGCACAGCATCGAGCACGCCGCGGCAAAACTTAGGAATTTCTCTCAGCCCCCTGAAGCCATTCATTGCCTTGTTTTGTTGTTGCTCTCTAGCCTTCAGTCGTGGCAGTCGCTGTGCTTGCCAACTTGTCGTCCCGAACCCTTCACTGTTCGCAGGCTCCTGCACCCAGCTTTATCTTACTGGTATGATGTCATCCTGTTCGGGTTGGCTTCTTGCCGTCAGCCGCGAATCGCTGCCCAGAGATGGCCTGCCTCCGCGGAGAAATGCAGGTGGTCTTCGGAGCCCCTTCGAAATGCGGGGGGCACTGGCAGCGAACCTTTCGAACTGACCCATCCAGATGTAGCCTGGCTGCTGACGCTTGGCATGGCCTGCCGTGCTACTTCGTAGGTCCCCGCCGGCACCCACACACGACCGCATCGCATCGGCGGGCGCCACAACAGGCATTCCGACGCAAACACAAAGGCATTTCCCCGCCTCGGTGCCCGGGCCTGCACGGTCCTTGCAGCCGGATGTTGATGATGATGATGATGATGATGATGATGATGATGATGATGATGATGATGATGATGATGATGATGCTGAGCTGGAGATGATGATGTTGATGATGATTATGCCGTTGCTGATGCTGATGATGATGGTGGTGGTGATGGTGATGGTGATGGTGATGATAATGCTGATGATGACGACGATGAAGATGATGATGACGATGATGCTGCTGATGATGATAAATAGGAGGAGGAGGAAGAGGAGGAGGAGGAGGAGGAGCAGGAGGAGGACATCAGCGATCCCATTGGGCCTGACCGTTAATCAAACGATGGGAGCATGCCGAAACGCGGCTGCTCTCTGGGCGGCCTTAGCGAGACGTGTTGGCAGACCTTGCTGCCGCCTCAGCCTCGCGAGCCGCCAGACGCACCTGGAGGGCCAACATCTCTGGGGCAGATATCACGTCAGTGGTCGGCGCAGGCAAACTGACGTCACTAGGCGGGAGTTGCTGGGCTGCATGACAGAAGAACGCCACTCCTCGCCTCGTGCTCTCCTCGCATCGTGCTCTCACTTTGATCGACGGCGCCGAGTGTTTGGGGGGGGGCCACCCCCCAGTTCGAAACGCGCCGCCGAATGTTCCCAAGGACAGTGCCTGTGAAACGCGTTCTCTCTTGTTTTATCACCTTGTGGGCGCCGCCAATCCTCTGCCGTCGGCTCACGAGAGGACCCTTTTCTTCGGCATGCTGTCGAGCCCTCGGTGCCCGTAGTGTCTGCGTGCATGCCATGCAACAATTAGCACCGGCTTGCGCAAGGGCAGCAGAATGACCCACGTCGAGGACCAGGAAGCCCACCAGCGAGGCCTGGGTCGAAAACCCCGGGCAGTGCGAACAATCCGACTTGGATAAGGAGTAGGAAGATGCAGGCCTGCAACTGGACCTCAAACCTGAACGAACAAGAGCAATGTATCCCCATACATGCGACGTCCTGATTTTTTCAACGCGCGGTCCCTGGAAGTCCTGGCCCATTCCCCAGGCTTGGTGCTTCAACCCGAGTCGTTGTTTGACGGTTCCGGGGCCCAGCGGGGGCCCCACGAGGCCGCAAACAGCTAAAAAAATCCGTCGTGATTTTGTTCACGACGCGAGCGGCGCTGAAATAAGGACCGCGTTGGGCTCGGGAGGGGCTCGGGTTTCTGGGCCCTTTGTCTGTGGCCTACGCCCGTCGTGGCCAGAAATGCTCCTCCGCTCCTGATTACGCGTTCCTCATGGTAGCGCGATGCCCTCCAGTCGTTGAAGGGAGAGGCATTTTTGGAGATCCAGATCCCATTCCACTTCGAGAACCTTCCTGCTTCAAGAATCGATCTGGAGTTGTTTTTTGTTGTTGTTCCGTGGGCGAGTCCGAGCCAATCTGTTTCCTCCGCATTCCTACTTAATGCTTCCACCTTCTTTCGACTGGCGGGTATTTGTACGGTAGGTTCCTGCGGCGTTGGCGCGCCAGCCACGCTGGCGAAGGCGTTCAAGGTTGAACTCTACGACGCGGAAGTACCGATGGACACGGTAGCGCCATTGGACCCGACTGAATTCGACATTGGACAATCGAGGCCACGATCGGTTCAAGGTTGAAAGATCCACGCGGTGTCAGAAGCCTTGGCGCGCGCCGACGCCGCACCAACTTGCCGTAGCCAGATCGGTTCACCAGACGGGGCAAAGGCGCTCGGGAGGGCCCGTGCTCCTCTCGGGCCGAACGACAGGCTAGGGGGGAAGGCTCCTTAGAAGCACCCCTGCTTCTTACTGGGCGCGGGCCTTTTCTATAGATGCAAGGCCCGCGCCTTCTAAGAAGCAGCCTCCTTCTTAAGAAGCCTTCCCCCTCCCCTACCCCTTTGTGCGCGCTGCCGATGTGCCCTACCCTTTGCTATCCTACCCTTTGCTGTTCCCCCTGTTCGGGAACGCTCTCAGAGCGTTCCGGAATGCTTTGAGAAGGCCGCGGCGCCCGATACATCCTCCAGAGCCGCGGGATCTCAGAAATTTCAGCTTATCCTCACCCGACTTTGTCCTCGTGCTGGTTTCGTCTTCTTACCTATGCTGTTTTACCCGCTCGCCCCCCCGAGAGGTCCCCCTTGGAGGGCCCGTGGTCGCAAGCGGTTTTTCTCCCCCAATCGCCGAGCTCCGCCCGAAAAGTTTGACCGCTCAGAAAAAGGGGGAAGCCCTGGGATGCACCCCCAGGGGGCTGTTCGGGCGCACCCCTTATCGAGGATGGACGCCCCCCCATCGGGCATCCCCGGGATGGGGCCCAAATGTCTGGTCCATTCGAAAAACCAACGAAGCCTGGAATCGGGGTCGGCATGTCCCGTGTAGAACCACATCCAGGTCGGGTCACCAGGATCGGCGGCGAGCAAGGGAAGAGAGACGGAGAAGGCTTCCTCAGAAGGTTCGGAAGTCCCCAAGCCTTCCGAGTAGTTCGCTGAGCCTTCCCCGAAGACACAGACCGTCTCTCAGAAGGCGCGAGAGCTATTGAGAAGTCCCGCCGCCTCCTGAGCAGGCCTCCTCCTTCTCGCCTCGCCACCGACAGGAGTCACCGAGCGCGTTGCACTACTCGCAGAGTGCCTGCTCGCAGACGTCCGAAAACTCACATGCCTGTTTCGGTGCAATGTATCGTAGATCCCCCGCGGCGGATCCAGGCCTCTTGCGAGTAGCGGAGCGCGCTCGTCCGCGGAGGGGCGGGGCGGCCCCGCCCGCGGGGAGGGACGCGGGGCGGCCCGCGCCGCCCGCCCCTCCCCGCTGCGCGGGGGGGCGGCGGCCCGCGGCCCCGCGTCGGCAGCGCTCCGAGGCGCCGCACCGTCGCCGTCGAGGTCGTCCCCGGCCTCGCCGCCGTCGTCGTCGGTCGCGTCGGTCTCGTCCTCGTCGTCGGCCTCGTCCTCGTCGGCGGTCTCGTCCTCGTCCTCGTCGGCGGCGGTGTCGTCTCCGTCTGCAGTGTCGTCCTCGTCGTCAGCGTCGTCGTCGTCGTCGTCGGCGTCGTCGATGCTCGTCCGCAGAGGGTCCTTCGGAACGCCGAGGGGCCCTCGCAGTCGTGCGCGCCTCCTCGCGGTCCCCTCGTCGACGTCGACGACGTCGACGTCGTCGGAATTGTCGATGTCGCCGTCGTCGGCGTCGGTCCGCCTCCTCGCGGCCCTCTCGTCGTCGTCGACGACTTCGACGTTGTCGAAGTTGTGATGTCGACCTCGACGTCGTTGGCGTCGCCGTCGTCGGCGTCGGCTCGGCTGGCCCCAGTCGAAAGCGCGCGTGTGCCGGACCGAGGCTCAGAAGTTCAAGAATTCGAGCCGCGGGCGCAACGCCGGCTGGCAACGCGGCCACTCTCCATCGCGGCGGTGCTCGGAGGAGAAATTACATACCGCAGTTAGGGTGCAACGTCTGAAAGTAAATTCGAAATCGGTGCTGGTACATCTGTGATCGAGAACTGGCCCAATCCAGCATTCTCCAGGCTAATCCGCATAATCCCGCTCAGTCCAATTAAATGGGGCTTCATCTTGGGCTCAATCCAGCCCAATCTGGCTTAATGGCCCCGAAACCTCCCATGACTTCTACCTCGCAACGGTAGGTTCGTGCCGTGTCGACGCGGCGGCGTCTCCCAGGACTCCCAGCGCGGGTGTTTAAGGTTGAACGCTGGCGGCGGCTCAGAATCGGCCAATACTAAGGAACAATCTGGCGATCGGAAAGCAACCGATCGCTCACGGTGAAACGATCCGCGCGGTGTCAGAGACGAACGCAGGGGTCGTCACCCTACGAGCCTGCCGTACTCCAAGTTGTTTCAAACGTGCCCCACCCCACACCACCCCTCCTGACGGCCCCGTCTGGTCTTTCCACACACACCAAGGCCACCACCACATGCGGCCCCCTCTCACGTCCCGTGCAGGACAGCTTGACCCCCGGGTGTAGTTGTAGTTAAGACAACCAGTCAGTCCTAGAGCAGTATGGCACGGTTCCGCGCTTGTACAAGATGATTTTCGCGCGCTCGCTGGGGCCAGCTGCCAGAGCCTCGTCTTGCACAGCAACCGTCCTTACGTTCCATGGGTCGCACCTCATACGCAGCGGAAGCCACATGCCTGACCCCCGGGTGGTCCACCCCCCGCGTTTGCAGCCAAGACGCCAAGAGAAAGACCATTTCGGGCTCATGAGGGCGCCTCTGGCTTTCGGGCCCTCCACTGGATCCGGGTCGGGAGGCCTCTCGGTGGCCGAGGCTCTTTCTTACAGTCAACCCGCAGAGGAAGGATGGGCGACTTTCCGAGGTTATCCTTGCATCCTTCCCCCTCGGCCCATCCTTGGCCGCTTTCGCTGGCCGCGCCCCGCTCGCAGAGTGTCGACATGGCCCTCCAAGGCCCTTGCGTTCTCATCGTGCGTCCTCATTCTCCGGGTTGACTGTATGCAGTGTGCCCCATGGCAGCACGACGACTGCATCGAGCAACCAACTCGGAGCACCTGTGCCGATGCCCGTTCCTTGTTCTCGCCGTTCGTTGGGCCTCTCTGGGGACGCTCTCGTCGCTATTACACTGCTGGCATCGCCTCGGAAAATCCCGGCCAGAAATCGAGCCCTGGGGACGGGTCCGGGGAGCAGCGGCCTCGGCATCTCAGCTGCCCTGATACGCACGTGCTCAAGCGCAACGCGTACCGTGTTCAACATGTTTCTCACGCACGCGTTGGCCCACGTCTTGGCGAACGTGTTGTGCCGGACCCACGTCTTGTCAATCTGCGTGTTGAGCCCCGCGTCGACACGCTATGGGTGTTTTGCGTGTTGCGTGTCGGGGCAGTTCAGATCGGTATCTTTCTGTTCTCCCAGGTGCGTATCCTCGTCGAGTCCATCGCGGCCCCGGCGGCGTCGAAGGGCGAGGAGTCTGGGGCCGACATCAGGGGAGCGTTGTGGAGTGCCGTCGCGGAGAGGGAACGGTGGCGGTCCGCGGACGTGCAGTCTCGAGCAGCGTGGCAGCGTTTTGGCGTCCACCCGCACGCGTGCACGAGGCCTTCCGCGAAAGGCTGGTCCAGCGTTCGTGTCACATGTTGCCACAACGCTGGCCCAGGTATCTTCGGGGAGTCCTTCATTGACCGTAGCTCGAACTGTAGGTTGGCCCAGAAAGATTCTTGCTGTTGGCTCGGTGAGTGTGCGCGCCTGGGTAATGGTCCACAGTCGCGCGGAGGGTCATCACAGTTCTGCTCCTCATCTGTGGCACCATCTCGCCGCATTCCTCACACGCACGCCTTCACGGCGACAACTCTCCGTGAGAGGGGCGTTTTGGAATACACTCAAGATCACATCATCAATCGGCACACTCGTTTACACGCGACCTTCACACGCAGCCTGCTCAGTCATACAGGGGCAACCGCGTTAAAACTTTAACTCTGGAGCATCGCCTCCGCGCTGGCAACATTCCGACCGCACAACGTTGTCTTTCCTCAGCGTTGGCCACACTTCCAGCCCAGAATCGTGCTCACCCCAGTGACGATCACACTCCCCGCCCAGAATCAAACTCAATCCTCAGCGTTGGCTAGAATGCTGCGACCGTTTCGGTGCCGGTCACATTCCTGGCCCAGAATGCCCTTCCTGCTTCAGCGACGGCCGGGATTCTACCCCGTCACAGAGAAGAAACAGAAGCGGCAACAGCAGGATCAGCAAAACAGTCATGCCAGCAGTAACGGTAGCAGTGGTAGCGGGAGCGCCAGCTGCAGCATAATCAGGAGTTGTAATTCGTGAGCGTATGAGTAAGAATTGCATCAGTGTTGTCAGCAATACAATCGAGGCGCTGAAAGTTTGACAAGTTCGGGTTCTGGAAGGGCTTTGGTTTTCGGGTTGTTCTTGACATCTGGGTCGGGAAACCTGTTCGTGGTCGAGGCTCGCCGTGGCCAGAAAAAATCTCTCGTTCTTGATTCAGCGTTCGTCATGGAAGCATGATGGCTGTAGCATCGGCTGCAGCACTATGTCAACAGCTCTAACGCAGGGCCAGCAGCAAGTCATAGCATGCCGCTCATCGCGAGCCTGCTACTGCGGGGCAGCAGACATCCTCGGAGCCATGGACTTGTTCCCAGAAAAATGCCCCCCCCCTCACCCCCTGGACCGAGCAGACTTGATTTTGCTCTGCGAGATCAGCCCCGATAGTACCATGGCAATTCTGCGCACCCCGCTTGCGATATGGTTAAATCGTCGCTCCTCACCCGATTGATACCTTACCGTGATGAATCCATGAATCAGGATCAGGAACCAAAGACGATCGTATGGGAGAGGTCCCGACACCGTGTTGTTGAGTCATCTTCAGGCCTTCGGCCCAGCCCGCCACCGTGCTTGAGTTATGCACAATAGACACTTTGGATGGGGAGTATCTCGGGGTCTCCTTGGGGGGTCGCTTGGGCGCCTCCTCGGAGACTGTTGGGACCCTCTTGAGAGCCTCTTGGAGGCGTCTTGTATGACTCGTGGGAAGGCCTCTGCGAGTATTATTTGTGTCTGTTGGGTGCCCCTCGAGGGCCTGCTGGGGGTATCGTCGGAACCCCCGGGAGGTCTTGGGCCACCTTGGAGGGGATGCTTCCAAATGTCTGGCGGTTGCGCGTTGTTGTTAAACCCTCTTGGGGCCTTTACTGGAGTTCGCTCCCTGCGCCTCTTGGGATCCCTGGCCGCCGTCTTGGAGCGGACGTCTGGGCCGTGCCCGCGCGCCGTACCGTGCCGTGTTCGGCATGTTGCGGCACTGACCTCGCGCACCGCGCGCGCCCCCCGTGTGTTGCTGACCACCACGTTAGATGCTCGTTTGGGGGACCTGCCTGGGGATCACCGGACAGATCTGTTCGACTCTAGTTCGTCTCTTGTTCGATTCCAGTTCGACTCAGCTTCGATTCGGGTTCGACCCAGCTTCGACGCACGAGTGGAGCGGGTGGCTTCAGGAAGGTCCCCTTTCTGCGCGCGAGCCCAAGCAGCGGGCGGAGGAGAGGAGGGTGCCAGCAGGAAAGTCTGGGAGACACTGGAGGGAGGAGGCCGCGACGTCTGCCCTGCCGCGCTGGGACTCTCGGCAGGACGCGGGGGGCGGGGAGGGCGAGAGCGCCTCCATTGGCGACCGTGGGCATCTCCGCCCTCGGCCCAGCAGGGAGAGTTACCTACTGCCAGAGGGACCTTCGGTACGGACCCTTGGGAGTCGCGTGGTGGGGACGAGAAATGGGGGCAGCGAGGGCTGCAGACAAAAAAGGCCCTGTAGGGCCCCTGAATGAGCCCCCTAGAGGAGGCCTTTGGGGCCCGAGAAGTGGACCTTTCGTCCCCCCCATGTACCGCGCCCCCCATCAAGCGACGCCCAAGGCCCAAAGTAGGGCGTTGCTAAGGATGCCCCTGGCCTAAGGTACCTCAGCTTGTCGTTCGATTTGGGAGCCCCTGGGGCCCTCTAGGCCTCTTGAGGGGTGCTCGGGGCCTCCCTGGAAATCACGGGGGTACCCTGGCCCAGGGTGGCGTCTAGCAACCCCCGACACAGGGGTCCGCGGGCAGTGGCTTGCGCGCGCGTGGATTTGGCCCCCACCGCGGCCCCCTGAAGCCGCGCACCAGAGGTCACTCCTTCTTGGGCTGCCAGAGAAGAAGGGAACACCCCCGCCAGCTGGGGGGCTGGCCGCTCCTCTCCCCGAACTGTCGGCACCCCGTTCCAGGCTCGTCCCCAGGGAGTGCCCGGAACGCAGTGCCTCCAGCTCCGGGGGGGGGGTCTCTGGAAACGGAGTTCTGGTGGTGGTAGCGTGGCGTTGTTGCTCTCATGACTAGGGCCACTCTTGGTAATTAATGCAAGGTGGCGAGAGTGGGAAGAACACTCGGCTCGACTCGACCTGAGGAGGGGAAGCCACCTCTCGCCGCCGAGCGGGCGCTGGCGTCCGGCGCACTGGTCCGATGCGGAAGGGGCGTGGCCAGCGAGCATCGGGGGAGAAGCAGGAAGAGCAGAGGCGGAGCAGCAGTGGGAGCGCTTTCTTTTGCGGCCTTTGGAGAGACCCCGCCAAAAGCATGCAGGTGTCAGTCCGCAGGAGTGGCGACCGCAAGCCCCGGAGCCGCTCGAAGAGTGCTGGTGGCGGCCGCAAAGGGCGGTCCAGGTCCCGATCGGCGCGGCGCAGGGCCAGATCCTCCTCAGGCTGGGCCGGGAGCGCGCAACGAGGAGGAGGACGAGGAGGAGGACGAGGAGGAGGAGGAGGAGGAGGAGGAGGAGGAGGAGGACGAGGAGGGGGAGGAGGAGGACGGAGGAAGAGGGGGAGAGGAAAAGGAGGAGGAGGAGGATGGAGGGGGAGGAGGAGGAGAGGAGGAGGAGGAGGAGGAGGAGGAGGAGGGAGGAGGAGGAGGAGGAGGAGGGAGGAGGAGGGGGAGGGAGGGGGAGGAGAAAAAGGAGGGAGAAGGAGGAGGAGGAGGAGGGAGCAAGAGGAAGATGATGATGGATGATGTGATGGATTTGACAGCATCGTGAGAGGATGGGATGAGGATGAGGATGAGGATGAGGATGAGGATGAGGGAGGAGGAGGAGGAGGAGGAGGAGGAGGAGGAGGAGAAGGAAGAAGATGAAGAGGGGGAGGAGGACGAGGAGGAGGAAGAGGAAGAGGGGGGGAGGAGGAGGAGGCGGAGGAGGAGGAGAGGAAGAAGGGACGGATAAGGAGGAGGAGGAGGAGGAGGAGGAGGGACGAGGAGGAGGAGGAGAGGAACACGGACAGCAGCGAAGCGCCTTAGCAGTCCGAGAGGACGGGCGTGTGGCGCAAGGGGGCCGGCCCTTCGACCGCGGCGCGGTTTCGCGCCGCTGCGACCAGAAAGTGTGGCGTGCGCACCGAGTCACGCTCTTAGCTGCACTGATACGTCCGTGTGGAAACGCAACACGTACCGTGTTCAAAGTGTCCGTGTTAAGTGTTGCGTGTTGGCTCGGCACGTGTTGGCCCACGTTTTGGCGAACGCATCGCGCCAGACCTGCGTTTCTAGTCTGCGTGTTGGGATCCATGTCAACACGCTACCTGTTGCGTGTGGCCGATCGGGGCAGCTAAGGTCACGTTGCCTCAAGGAAGCCAAGTTGCCACACAGTGTCGTATTGTCCTTTCGAACCTATGGCAGTTTATCCCTCCCCCCGGGACCCCCGCCGAGCTGCCGTTCCACTCACTTCGTCTTACAATCTCAGTTCCAAATTGTTCAAAACAGACGGGGAATCACTGATGTTGGCCTCTTGGGGCGCAAGAGGGCCTCAAGATGGATCAATCAGATTTCAAGACTGCTCAAAATGGCCCCAAGGCGACCCAGGATGGCCCCAAGAGAGAGGCTCAAAAGACAGCCACAGAGGGCCCCACGGAGACCCCCGAGAACGCCTCCAAATGCCAAAACATTGTTCCCAACCATCCTGCTGTGGTGTTGGGTCCTCGTTTTGAATCAGTATCCCCCACGTCCCTCACTCACTCCTTCCTCCTCCTTCTCCTCCTCTCCTCCTGGCTCGTCGTCGTCCTCTTTGCCATCATCGTCATCATCATCATCGTCATCATCATCATCATCATCATCAGCATCATCATCATCATCATCATCAGCGGCATCGTCATCAGCTTTTCCACCATAACCAATGGCATCATTTGCAGCATCCGCATTATAATCGTCGTTCCACCCAGCGTCAATAATATGCCCAGCATCAGCACCATCATTACCAGCATCATCAATATCGGCATCAGCATCAACATCATCAACATCATCATCATCATCAGCACCATCATCATCATCATCATCATCATCATCATCATCATCATCATCATCATCATCATCATCATCCACCATCCGTAGCAAGTCTGGCTCAGGTTGGAACCATCGCCCCGTGGCTCCAGCTTGATCGCAGCCGAGGGTTTGGCTCGAGGCGCGAGCCTGCCGGGATTCCTCCCGCGATCCTTGCTGGAGGCTTGCCCTAGCCGCAGCAGGCTTTGAGGCTTCTCGCTCACCAGTTTCTTAGTCCAGATTCTTCGAAGATGGCGGCCACCCTGGAGAGCATTCAGGAACTGTTGAAGGCCCAGGTGATCTCAGCGAAGAAGGACGATGCCACACTTCCGAGGCCATGACTACGTTGACAGCTGCGGTCCGTGCTGCGCAGGAGGCTATTCGCGTCATCTGGCTGAAGACGACCGCCACCAAGGACGAGACCGATCAATGGTTCGCAGCGCTGGAGATTCAGCTGTGCGCTTGCCAGTCCAACAGCAGTTCCAAGGACGACTGCTACGGCGGCATGTCCGACGGTCCTTCGAGTTGTTGGATGGGTGATACGTTCAGCGGCCTGTTCAGCAGCACCATCGAGTACATCGAGAACAGCTTTCAGGGCTGGCCACCGTTCAGGCGTCGTTGCGGCATCCACTGCAGTTTTGTTGTTGATGTTGTTGTTGTTGTTGTTGTTGTTGTAGGTGGTGGTGGTGTTGTTGTTTGATTGTTGTTGGTTCTCTCTCTCTCTCTCTTTCTGTCTCTCTTTCTCTTTCTCTTTCTCTCTATATCTCTATATTCCATCCCAGCGACACAATCCGCAAACAGCTCTCGTCAGACTGGCAGCCTTGCTGCCAGTTTCGACATCGGTGACGCCCCCGACCGCGCCAACATCTGCATGTCAGGCTTCCCGCGCAAACTGCTCAAAGCCAAGTTCGGTCAGCAGTTCCAGGAGATCAGAGCTGTCATGCTCGCCCCCAACCGCAGCACATGTGAATCTTGCATTCGCAACGCGCAAGCCACGTACGTGATCAAGTTTGATAATGTGCAGGACACAAACAACTTCCGATATCAGTTCCGTGCCCAACCAAGTCAGTGGCGGGATGTGCGCACCCATAATACACAGGCTCGTTGTATGTCAGCAAGAGGAGATTCACCATGAGCAAGTGCTGGGACATCGGCAAGAGCACGCTCGTCAGTGAGCAAGCATGGAAGCCTGAGAGAGAGATCGGCTTGCGTCCCATACCAAGGTATCCACTACCTCATACTCCAGGACGAGCCCCACGATATGGTCAAGTGCTCTGATTTCCTCTCGGGCACCTTCACCTTCGAGCCGCAGTTTGACGCGTTCCGTGAGCTCGGCATCCCGCTGGAGATCGCCGAGGCCCTGGTGGGGCTCATCCAGGCGCTGCTTGATCAGTCGTCGCGGTGGTCTTCTTGCCAGGACACTCGTCTCTCGGCTGACTCCCCGGATTCAGCCGACGCCACATGTTCGGTGGGTGAAGGTGTGAGCGCCATCGATCTTGATTTCAATGATCAGGTCGCTTCTCCTCATCTGAAGCGTAGGCGGCCGCGAGTCAGCCAGAAGCGTCGGAGACCTTCGTTCACTTCTTCTTCCATCTCCTCTCCTGCCTGTGCCCTTTTGCCTGCCAGTCGGAATGCCAGATGCCTTTCTTATTTTCGCGAGCCTGTAACTTAGTTCCCTGGAATTCAGGAACGTTCTCCGAGGCGGTGGTAGGCTCCGCGCCTCGGCATCATCGCACTTGGAGGCATGTTCGCGGTTTCTATCGAAGCGTCGATATCATCTGCTTGCAGGAAGCTCAAGGTACCGGTGCAGATCTATCGAGTCTCGAACGCGACTTCTCCGACTTCCAGCATTTCGGCCTTTTCTTTCCCGCGCGCGTTGGTGGCGCGGCCATCTTGGCGCGCCCCTTCCTGGCCAGTCTTTTTCACGCCCAGCTTCATCTGCTGGTCATCGACAGCGGCCAGATGCTATCTCTGACCCCCCATGGGATCGCTGGCGCGTGGAACTCATCAGCTTTCGCGTTGGGCCATAACGCCGCCGCAATCTTCAGATGGAGCCCCTGCAGAAAACCAGTCGGTTCACCTCGGGGCTACGCGCTGCCTCCGTCTTCCTTGGGGGCGATTG